GCGCAGCATCCCGATCCTGAGCAGAAAGCCGACCAAGCCCTAGGGGTCCGCCGCCTGCGTGGACGACTGCAGAGCCCAGCCGCCATGAGGTAAGGCCTTTCCCCGCTTCTCCACCCACCCCTTGCGAGGGCCTTTGTTTCCAATCGGTCTTTTTCTTTCATTCCGTTTCCAGCGCAGGGCCCCGGCCCGTTCGCAGGCTGAGCCCCCCGGCGCCGAGCAGCCAGGCGTCTGGCTGGGGACGCTCCCCGGGAACCCTGTCCAGGTCCCGGCGTCTGAAATCGGGCCTATCGGGGAGGACGTCCGGACGGCTCCTTCCCCGGGGTCCCGATCCTCCTAGGCGTCTACGGCCGGGACTGTCGGCCCGCGAGTCGTGGCGACGCCCCCCGGAGGCTTGTCCTCTCCCCGCGGCCCTCCTCGGCGCCTGGGTGGTGACCGAGGGCCGTTCGGAGGGGCCGCTGCGGGGCACGGGTCTCCGTGGGCCCATCGCCTTCCCTCCCCCTTCCCAAGCCTGCAGCTGCCTTTCCCTCCTTTTGGCAGAGGCCGTCTGGCCGCAGCCCCAGGCCGCCCATTTGTCTCCTTCTGCCATTTTGCCTTTCTGATTTCTGGGTCTGAGTTCTCCCCTGCCTCTGAGCTACCTTTGAGCCACGTACAGATTTTTATTGTTCCGCCCAGTTCCCTATTTTATGAGGATTCCTTTATCCGTCTCCTTGACCGATGGATGGCGACGGGGCTTTTCCTCACCTTTTTTGGTACCCCCAGGGCGAGCACCCTGCCCGGCGCAGGGTTAGTGAAGCTTTTGCCTTTATAAAGCTGAGGAATAAGAGGTTAAGACCTTGGGCGCCTGAAGCAGATAACCCTTTGTTCTACCAGTTGGGTGGCCCAAAGCGTTTTAGACTGAATCTGTTTCTTATCTGTAGAAAATTAATGGCATCCATCTCTTAGGACTATTATTAGAAGTAAAATAACAACAATAATAAGTTCCTAACTTCTGATATTTGTAAGAAGGGAGGGAGGTATCTGGAAAGGCCTGAAGAAACGAGGGAAGGGGGGTGCACTGTATATGTTTATGTTTATGTGTATGTAGGATGGAGTGGAAGAGGGGTGGATTCCACTGGGGACCATTTCTCAAGGACAGTGAAAGACTGCTTCTAACTGGAAAAAAAATTACTGAAAGATAAATGTTGCCTCTTAGGACACAATAGCCTCTCTCTGCTAGCTTTCCAGAGACAAAGTTAAAAAATTATGTTGGCAAAGTTAAAAAAGTAAAACTTCTCGCGGCCGGCCAGATGGGCAGAGCGCTTCAGTGGCTGACTGTCCCTTTCAGATCTCACATCCACATTCATAATACCCCAGGCAGCCTTCCTCATCATCTTTGGGCTGGGCTGGAACTGAGCTGAGTGGCAGAGAGTTTGGATCACTGGGGAACAGGAGGACTTATCTCCTTGGTCAGCCTTAGAAACCCTCAGAACAGAGAGGCCAGTTTCATTTTACTCTGTGAATGGACAGGGGGCTGATAGGCTCATATTGTGGTAGATCTGGGCAGGCTGGTAAGGGCATGGCAAGTCTTGCCCATGATCTCGGTGCAGTTACTCCAGAGGAAGCAACAAGTATCAAGGGGGAATCATACCAGGTTTCCCAGTGAAGACCATAGGAAACAGTTCAAAACCTATTTTCAAAATTCAAACATGGAGCCAGAGAGAGAGCATGCCAAGATATAAAGACAAGTGGAGAGGGAAGACTGAAGTGGGAAAAAGTTTGGAGCCATTAGCAGAATAGAAGAACTAGCAGGAATTCCTTCATCTGAAACTCATGTGTTCTTTATGCTAAGCCTACACCTCTGGACTGGACATGCCAGATGTTATCAGTATGTAACTGCATTCATTCATTCATTCATTCATTCATTCATTCAACAAATATGTCTTTGTTGAACTTCGGTTATATCTGGAATAATAGATGCTAGGGACACAGGGGTGAAAAAATAAAATCAGAACAAGGCCTCTATTCTCATGGGGCTTACATTTAAATGGGGGAAATAGACAAATAGTAGATAAATGAGTAATCAACATAATTCAGAAAGTGGTAAGAGTTATAAGGAAAATAAAACAGTGTAATGGCCTAAGAGGGATCTAGAATGGAGGAGGCTGTTTTAGATAGCTCTGCCTCTGGCAGCCTCTTAAATAGTGAATATTTGAGCTGAGTTATAGGAAGAGAGTCACTCAAAGATTTAGGACCAGAGCATTCCAAACAGAGTAAAAACAACAGGTGTAACAGTCCTTGAACTTGGTGTGTTCACTATAAGAAGCAGGTCAATATGTCTAAAACTGAGTGAGGAGGGAGAGTAGCAGGAGAGAAGGTTGGATGGGTAGACAAGGCCAACTCCTTTAGGGACTTGTAGGACGTGGCTGGATGAGTATCTAAGGGTGTTGGGAAGCCATTTGGTGATTTTAAGACTGATACAATGTGGTTTATATTTTCAAAAGTTTACTAGTTACTGTATGGGGCCCAAGAATAGAACAGGGATTTTTGTCCCAACTCAAAGGAAAGGTAATGGAGGTGGAGGTTTAGGCCAGGTAAACAGCGGTGGAAATGGAGAAAAGTGGGTGGGTTTGAAGTGTATCTGGGTGGTAGAATTGACAGGACTTCCTGTTGGATTTGGATGAAGAGTTGCGAGAAGAGGAATCAAAGATTATTCCTCAGTTATTTTGCCTGTGGAACATGTGCCAAGAAAGGTGGGGAAGACTGAGGGAGGAACAGACTCAAGGGACCCAAATTTCTGTGTTGGATATGTTTATTTGAACTAAAAAGTAGGTAAGTCTGGAATTCAGGGGAGAGATCAGAGAGAGAGGAAATACTTTGGAAGGGCATCAGCATATACAACAGAAAGTCTTTCATTGGATTGTGGGGGAAAGTATTATAATTCACTTAATTATGATAATTATATCTTTGTTAACTAAGATTCTTGCACTTCCTTTGGATCACTTTTAACATATTTTTACCCAGCTCTCTTGTTGTTTGAGAGAATAGCTAGTTGTCTTTAATTTATCTCTTTGCCACTCCCTATCTGAAACACTGCGAAGCACATCCTGGTGAGAAGTAGCTCCATCTCAAAATAATTCCAACAAAGTAGAATGCTTTGACTGTTAGGGCTCATGTATGAAATTATTGTTTTCTTAACCTGAGACCTTTAAATATCTGGTATGTCTTTTCCAATGGTCAGTCACACAAACCTCTTACCTGCTCTTTAAGGTGCTCTAAAACCTCTTCCTGTTTTCTCTTTAGGTATTCCTGAGGCAAAGTGAATTTTATATACATTAGATATATCATATGTTTTAAAGCAGACTATTCTAAACACACACAAAAACCCCTCCAATTTGTATATTAGAAGTAGTATAGTATTATGGTTGAAAGGCATAGCTTTTGAATCAGGCAGAATCAGTTTGGGATCTTGGCTCAGGCACGTTATAGCTGTGTAACCTTAAACATGTAATTTAAACTCTCTGCCAGTCCTCGTCATAAAACTGAAAATAATAGGAGGTTTTTATAAAAATTAATGTAATTTATGTAAAGTTCTTGGCACACTGCTTTGGCATGTAGTAAACCATCAATGAATGGTAGCTTATTTATTTTTTTTTTAAGTACTCATGATTTAGACAGTATATTATTAATAGTATTTATACTATTGAATGTGTGGTGAACCCAGGTGATATGCATAAAGTTGTTTTTCAAATATATCCTTGTTTCCCATTTAATTTAGCTCTTCTCCTTGAATAAAATAGCAGAAATTTAAAGTTAAATGAGAGCTCTAACCTGCTGGGCTTGAGGCCTTTTTATCCATTAAGCCCTAAGGCCCAGTTTCTCTAACTGTCCCATACAGTAGCCACCAGTCCTATATGACAAGTTAAATAAAATAAATAAAACTAAAAATTCAGTTTCTTCATTGTTCAAGCTACATTTCAAGTGATCAGTGACCATGTGTGGCTACTGTTTACCATATTTTAGAGCACAGCTAAGAAAGAACATTGCCATCATGGCAGGAAGTTCTTTTGGAAAGCTCTAGTCTAGAACCTACAATCACTAAAATGTGGGACCTGTGTATACAGTATGTGTATATCTATATATACAAAGAGAAAGAGAATAAATGTGAAAAAATTATAAAAATGAAAATTAATAAGCTACTTTAAGTGTCTACCAAATATATTAAGTCAACTATTAATATTCACATTTAGTATTTATAAAAATTGGAAAACATTTCATGGAGTAATAGATTATGTGCCCTGATGGGGAATCAAACAGCCTTTTAGGAATGACACTAACTGTGCCCCCCGTGAGGGCTGGTTTTATTTTACTAATCACTACTACTGATTTTGCAATTAATCCAGTTCTCTAATTTTTCTGTCAGTTTTGGCTCAGTCCAATTCAGTTTAATGTCATATTTGATTCAAAATACTCTCTTCTCTTTTCCAACCCCCAGCAAATATCTATGGAAGTGCCATAAAGAACAGGAAAACGTGATAGACTAGACTTTAGGATGACTGGCAAGGTGGGGATGCAACTTTTATCCTAGGTAGTCAGAGGTAGGTCTCTTCAGAGAGCTGAGATTTGAGCCAAAGACCAGAATTAAGAGAATAAGTGAGCCCTCGAGCGCTCTCAGGAAGAGTTCAGAGAAGGGAATAAAAGGAAGGTACATACTCCCTGAGGTAGTACATATTTGGCGTAAGAAATAATACACAATAAAGATTTTTTAAAGGCCAGTATGGCTGGAGTGCAGTGCATGAGAGGAAAGTAGTGTGAAGACTAGAGAAGTAGATGTAGGCTGGATGAAGAAAGGCATAGCACACATGGTTAGGAGTTTGGGTCTGGAGATAAAGATTTGAGTATTAACAATAAATAGCTTCACTTCTGCTTTATAGTCCATCTTGCAATTCAGGTGACATCTTCACTTGAATATCTAATAGACATCTCCGAATTAACATTTCCAAATAACCCTTTTGATTTACCACTTACCTCCTGGAGTCAAAAGCATAGGAATCATGCTTTCTTCCCTCTTCCCGTCATGGCTTCCCTACACCCAGTCCATCAAAAAGACCTGTCAGCTCTGCCTCCGAAATATAACCATCCAGTCCTCACTAACACACTACTGCAGCCCGAGTGTAAGCTTGTATCATGTCTCCTTGGATTACTTCAACAGCTGCCTTCGTGTCTCTTTCAGGGAGATTTGCTCTGGCCATGCTACCCATTTCCTGCCGGCTCCCCATTTCCCTCTCCTGCTTTATTTTTCTCCTTAGCACTATTATATATCACGTACTCCATATTTTCATGTATTGTTCTTTCTTTTTATGGCACACCCAACACCCGGTTAGAATGTAAGCTACATGAAGTCAGGATTCTTTTTCTGTTTTGTTCACTGCTGTATCCCCAACACTTAGGACAGTGTCAGGCATACCGTAGGCTCTCAATAAATATTTGTTGAATAAATAGCTTTTCCACTAGTTTCCCAACTTCCTATCTTGACTGTCTTATTGACCATTCTCCCCAGAGCATCCAGAACGATTTTTCAAAGCGTAGGTCAAAAGTTTTCCTTTCCCTACTTAAAAATTTTTCTCTAATGGTTTCCTATTGTGATTAGAGTAAAATTTACGTCAGCTGTCCCTGGCTACTACTTACTCCTTCCGTATCTCCTGCTACTCTCCTTTTTGTTTATGCTTCAGCCACACTTCCTTCTGTCCCCGAACATTCCCAAATTTGTTCCCACGTCATGGCCTTTGCCCTCACTGGTACCTCAGCCCAAACCAGGGTTTCTCACCTCAGCATTATTGATATTTTGGACTGGATCATTCTTGGTTGTTAGGGCTGACCTGTGCATTATAGGTATTTAGTAGTATCCCTGGCTTTGACCCTGTAGATGCCAGTAGTCATTCCTTCCATGGTGACCAACAATTGTCTCCACACATGACCAAAGTTCCCTTGGGAGGCAAAGTCACCCTGGTTGAGAAGCACTGGCTTAGACCATTCTGCCCTCAGATCTTTAATGACTGCATCCTTTTCATTGTTGAGATCTTGCTTCAGTTGCCCCCTTTTCACAACTTTGACGATCATAACTAAAGTACCCCCACCACCACCACAAGCACTTAATCCCATTACTCTGAATTTTTTCTTCTTAACATTTATTGTCTGGAATTATGTTGTCCACCTATTCGTATACATGTTTATTTTCTGTCAATACCTTTTCCTTTCTTTTCCAGAATGGAGTTACCATTAAGAAAGGGCCTTTTTCTATCCTGTTCACTACTATATCCACTACAACTAGAATACTGCCTCTCGTGTATGATATGACATGATCAATAAATGTTCATTGATGGAAATATTACTATAGTTCCCATAAATATTTATACAAATACATATTTACATTGTACATACAAGCGGGGTCCTGTGTGCTGCAGAACAGGAAATACACACTCATACACACTATACACTGTTCATCCCATGATGAGAGCATTTTCTTCTTTGAGAGAAACCCTAAGTAATTTTTTTGTATATTTCTTGTGACCTTTAATTATGGCCAATAGTAGATTTAGAAAGACTTTACCAACTGTCTCACCATCAGCCAAACAAACAAACAAACAAACAAATAAAACTAGGTATATTAATGCGGACTTTTGTCAGTTACAGACAGAAGAAACCCATTCAAACTGGCTTAAAAAAGAAGAGAGAGATTATTTGCTTAAGTAAATAGAAGTCCATGAGTAGACCAGGTGATCCAGGCAAGACTGAATCCAGTCAGTATCATGAGTCATCTGTCTTCCTGTCTAAGTCCTGCTTTCCTCTATGTTAGATTCTTTCTCAGGCAGGCTTTCCCCAAGAATTTGGAAAGATGGCCACTCCAAGCTTATATTTACCAGTGTAAATTTTTTTAGAAGAAAGGGAGATAGTTTTAGCAAAGTGCCATTTCAGCAAAATTATATTTTAATTGGACATTTTTCAGATAAATCACTGGAACCAAGAAATTGCTGGAATATCTTGTGCCTTCCCACAGATTGGAGTGAAGGGTGGACACCCATCTCAAATCACATGGACTGAGATAGGGTGAGAGGTTGTTCCACAAAGGAAAACCAAAAGAAGGGATCCTTGCCAAGTAAAAAACCCACAGATTTCCACAGCATTAGGACTATGTACCCATTCTGGATCACTTCCATGGAACTTTATTGGAATGTTGGGTTGTAATTGACTTAAGTCTTGTTTTTTCTATTAAGTCTTTTTATAAATTTTTAGTAAGTTTTTTTTTTTTTTTTAAATATATCTTTATTGATTTCAAAGAGAGGAAAGGAGAGGGAGGGAGAGAGATAGAAACATCAATGATGAGAGAGTCATTGATAGAGCCTGCAACTGGGGTATGTGCCTTGACCGGGAATCGAACCCCGATCTCCTGGATCCCAGGTCGATGCTCAACTGCTGAGCCACACCCGGCCGGGCTTAGTAAGTCTTTTATAAGTTTACTTTTAAATCTTGTTCACAGTTACAGCCTCAGAGTTATTCAGAAGACATCGAACAGAAAAGGGTCTCAGTGATAAATACTCCTATCCCTTCCCCTTTGCCTTCCTAGTTCAGACAGCATTTCCACTGGGTCCTGCAGAGCTCATACTGTGCCTTCCCAAGGAGAGCTCAACAGATATTTGAATGTTACGGACAATGATAAGTTAATAATAGGCATCAGCCTTTATTACTGTCTACAACCCCAGAGGTCAGAAAGATGTGGCACTTACATGAAAATCTATTGTTTTCTTTTGCCTTTTCCCCATCTTTCTCTAAATCTGTTATTCTCTTTTTATCTCTCTCAAACTTATGCTTTTCTCCATCTCTTGGTATGCCTATTCCTGTCTGTTCCTGTGCCTTTTCTCTGTAGGCTTTCTTTTCTCCCTCCCTCCCTCCTTCCTTTCTTCCTTTCTCTGCAAAAATAGTATATTTGTATGGTTTCTCTGTCTCCTTCACTGTGCTTCTTATTCCTCACCCTCTCTTTTCTCTCCCTTCATTAATAATACAGAAATGAAAATTTTATATTAATTATTGACTGTGAATATATTTATTTTTAATTTTCAAGGCTAGTAAATTAAACATTTAAATTCTCCTCTCTGAAAATAGGTGGTCCCTGTGGGACAGTGACTGCCAAAAGGAAATAGATACCCTGTAGCATAGAAAACACTATCATCTCCAGAATTTTGCAATAAATAATGAGAATTTAATGAAATATTTCTAGGACATAACTGTACACAGAGGAAACTAGTATAAAGTTATAGGAGCCTGTGCTTAACTATAAGATCAAATAAAAGATGAAATTGGTTATTAAGTAAGGAACAGTATTTAAGGTTTAAAAATTTATTGTTTCCTTTATTCAGAAATTAAAAAGGATTTTATCTTTGACAGTGAGATTCCTAAGGACTCCTTGAAGGCCATTCTGTTGGAGTTAGAATGTCACTTTACATGGAATTTACTTAAGGAAGACATTGATCTGTTTGATGTGGAAGATACAATTGGGCAACAGCTTGAATTTCTTACCACAAAATCCAGACTCACTCTTTATAACTTACTGGCCTATGTGAAACACCTAAAAGGCCAAAATAAAGATGCCCTAGAGTGCTTGGAACAAGCAGAAGAAATAATCCAGAGGGAACACTCAGACAAAGAAGAAGTACGAAGTCTGGTCACTTGGGGAAACTACGCCTGGGTGTATTACCACATGGACCAGCTTAAAGAAGCTCAGAAGTATACAGACAAGGTAGAAAATGTCTGTAAAAAAATGTCCAGTCCTTTTAACTACAAATTGGAGTGTCCTGAGATTGACTGTGAGAAAGGGTGGGCACTCCTGAAATTTGGGGGAAAGTATTACCAAAAGGCTAAAACAGCTTTTGAGAAGGCTCTGGAAGTGGAACCAGACAATCCAGAATTTAACATCGGCTATGCCATTACAGTGTATCGGCTGGATGATTCTGACAGAGAAGGTTCTATAAAGAGCTTCTCTCTGGGCCCTCTGAGGAAGGCTGTTACCCTGAACCCAGATAACACCTACATTAAGGTTTTTCTGGCACTGAAGCTTCAAGATGTACATGCAGAAGCTGAAGGGGAAAAGTATATTGAGGAAATCCTGGACCAGATATCATCCGAACCTTATGTCCTTCGTTATGCAGCCAAATTCTACAGGAGAAAAAATTCCTGGGACAAAGCTCTTGAACTTTTGAAAAAGGCCTTGGAGGTGACACCAACCTCTTCTTTCCTGCATCACCAAATGGGACTTTGTTATAGGGCACAAATGATCCAAATCAAGAAGGCCACGCGCAACAGACCTAAAGGCAAAGATAAACTGAAAGTTGATGGGCTGATTACATCTGCTATATTTCATTTCAAGGCAGCTGTGGAACGAGACTCTATGTTTGCATTTGCCTACACAGACCTGGCCAACATGTATGCTGAGGGAGGCCAGTATAGCAACGCTGAAGACATTTTCCAGAAAGCCCTTCGTCTGGAGAACATTACTGATGATCACAAACATCAGATCCACTACCACTATGGCCGCTTTCAGGAATTTCACCGTAAATCAGAAAATACTGCCATCCACCATTACTTAGAAGCCTTAAAGGTCAAAGACAGGTCATCCCTACGTACCAAACTGACAAGTGCTCTGAAGAAATTGGCTACCAAGAGACTTGGTCACAATGCTTCTGATGTGCAGAGTTTGAGTGCCCTAGGGTTTGTTTACAAGCTGGAGGGAGAAAAGAGGCAAGCTGCTGAGTACTATGAGAGGGCCCAAAAGATAGATCCAGAAAATGCAGAATTTCTTACTGCTCTCTGTGAGCTTCGACTTTCCATTTAACTACATACTATAGGAAATCAATTTTAAAGCTCTTCTATTTTGGGTTCTTATATTTTTGTTTATTGTTTTAATCCATACATTAGAGTCAGTTTTCCTTCAATGGTTATTGTGTTACCAGGCATCATGTTAAGTACTTTATATGCATTATGATGAATCATTTGCTGTTTTCTACTTTTTTAAAATGAAAATACTATAATTCATTAAGAAACAGCAACATTCCAGCTGTTGTAACTTGAAAATGGCGTCGCCATTATGACTTTATATACCCTTTGTGTCTGCTGTTTATAATAATATTCTGATTAAGTTTTGTCAAATTTCCCATGGTACTACTCACACTTATGCAGTGAGTATAATCCTACACAAATTTTGACACCTAGGTCAGGAACACTGTTTCAGGAGTGCAAAATTCTATTGGTTAAGTTCTTAATTATGTAGCTTACAAAAGATGGAACCTCCAGTTACAGATGCCCTGACTTTAATGAGGATATTTAACCATCAACCTAAAGAACCCTTTGTTGGAAGAAAAAAGTTCATAATAAAAAGTTTGTCATCTCTGATGACTTCAATAAAAGAAAAAACTAGAACATGAGAAAAAAAGATTTCCTCAAATATAGAACTTAAGGGACCCATGATAAATCAGAAGTATTATCTCCCAAAATGTTCATTAAGTAGCTAGAAACAGTTATGAGGGAAAAAATGAATAATGGAAAAACATTAGTCTCAAGTTTCTCTGGTTCTTTAACTAGAAGAATAAACCTAAACTGAATCTAGATGGGTTTCCAGTTGCAGTATTTTTAGGTTACAATCATTGAGATAGAAAACAGACCAATTGAGAAATTGGAAAAAATAATAAGCAGATGCCTAAAGTAGAAATCCCTAATCTGTATCCCTAGATTACCAAAATTTCACTGATTTAGTTTTGTGGCTGGACTGGGTAGAGTTCTCACACCCCCAATTTCTGGCCTTTGGTTAACTGTTTCAGAATTCCAGGTTACTTCTGTGAAGCTATTTCTTTTGTCTGAAGTTTTCAGATTGACATGTTTTCCTATAGTATAGATCCTCCAGAAATAGGTAAGCCCAGCTTTCAGGTTTAATAATCCACCTCGAAGGGTCACTGTTTAAGGGCTCTTATCTCAAGGGACTTTTTAAAAATTTTTAAACTTTTATTGTTCAAAGTATTACAGATCTTCCTTTTTTCCCCCATTGACCCCCTCCACCC